AAAAATGAAATATTGTACTCCACTTTAAAGTTCATTTTATGTTACTTTTGTTGAAGATATTGGCAAATAAATGTAATGTAATACTAAATTTTAAGGTTGAAAAAGGGCAATATATAATATAATTTGTATTTCCACAATCGCTTTCGAAAAATTTGTTTTTATCATAAGCCTGTGTTTTTAAAACTAATACAAAGAGTAAATATTTACCTAATTAAATAATTTTAAATAAAGTTAAAAACAGTGATACAGTATAAAGGATTTTGGAAAGATATACATGTAAATGATTATTTCCTGAGATTATTTTTATTTATAATTTTCCAAAACTCTCTATACCATCTGTTTTAATTTTATTTAAAATTAATTTATCATAAAGTAAACATTTACTTTTTGTATTAGTTGTAAGCACAGCATGAAGATGAAAACATAGTTTTCGAAAGCGCTTGTTGAAATAAACAATTTGTTATATATTGGCCTTTTTTAACCTTAAACTTTATTATTACATTACATAATTTTGTGTTGCTAAATTGCTGTGTAGGTATTGTGTTTACTTTGTAATTATTAAAATTAATGATTTTTTTATATATTAAGAAGATTGCTTGTACGAATTGCACTTGTCACTTTATTCAAAATGGATTTTCCTTGAAGGACAGATTCATTAAAATTAGTTATAAAAACATTTTTATTTAATTACTATTTAAATATATAGCATTCATTGAATGCGTGTTTTTCAACACTGATTAAAGTACAACATATTTAAACCATTACCCCATATACATATGAATGTCTATACAATTAATTGAATCTAATCGTTATTCAAATTTAAAATACTTTAAAGTGTCCTGCGTAACTTTAATTGGCTTAAGCTACATTTATTGAAACAACCCTTGTATGATGTTAAATCCAATGAAATCTACGGTACATATTTACTCCTTGTGAAGCTTATTTAACAATATAAAACACTTTATAATAAAAGATACCAGTAACTCGAATAAAAAAGAGGTGTTAAATAAGCCTTTATTCTCTTTGAACACAATTAAATATTTATACAGACAATTTATTACCCCTAAACATCCAAAATTATTTATTAAAACACCTAAACGTATTGGTTTCCTTTGGTAGTTGTTTTGTCTGTTGCATAAAAGTTTTAATTAATCGAACTTGTAACTAAAAACGCTGTGTTACAATAACTACAATAAATACAATTACTTGTCCAGTAATGATATTGTAGAAATTCTGACCTATGATTCCATAGGAGCACATGTTGATACTGTATATTAACATAATCCTGCATTCGTCGCAATGTTTGTGACATTTACCACAGTTTGATCTGAGGGATTTTAGTAATTTGTTAACCTTTAATCTTTGTGAAATATTTTTGTTGTTTTTATTGAAGCTAAAACTTAATTCAAAACTGTCTACTTTTTTATGTTGAGTTGAGACTTAAATACATTGCTTTAAATAAAGGTAAAGTTAAATTTGCTTAATGTAAATTGTAATATTACTAAGAGATGATCCTTCAGTTGAGTGTTCGACCACAGTCAGATTATAGACAAAGACGAAACAGTTAAGAAAATGAAATTTATATAACTAAACGAGGTTTCTCTGTGGCCGATGTTATTATCATTGATGAAAGGTAAATCAATCTTCACGGTATGAATCTACAATAAAAATGCAATTTATTCTAAACTACTACATAACAAGGTTTTATTCATCTTAGATTTCTTAAAAAAACATTGTCTTTGGAAGATAAAATGGGTTTGCAGTATTTGGTATTCATATGAGACAATATTTGTTAGATTCTCACATGGGCCCCTTTGTAATAACTTATTCTCACATATCTAAGCTTATAGTAAGACCTTACATGCAACTTTATATTTTTCTGACCACTTAGTTCATAAAACGTAAATTTTTCACATCTCTAAAAGTTCTAAGATATTTGTGGCTAACGATCTGAATTTTGGAAAGGACTTTTGGTTGCCACGGGGAGATCATAACTGAGAAACAAATTCTGTAAAACTTAGGCAATTGTTAGAAATTTTATGTACCTCTACAATTTATGGCTCAGCCTCTAAGGCCTAGAGCCTTCAGAATACGTTGCCTAACTTTCTGTTGAATGAGTCGATTAGGTGAGGTCCTAAGGATAAAAATAAAGACGTATTTAAGCATTTATGAGTAATTTTGTGACCTTTAAATCTTTTCGAAGTTAGTCCAGGATGAGGAAATGCAATTAGGGAACACAATTTACTACTAATAAAACAATTTAACCTGTTGTGGTTGAACAAATGCACGATTAAATATTCCTACTACGCAACTCTTTATTTAGAGAAAATTTAGTGTCAAAGTCAAACTTAAATATTTTCAAAGAATTTGTACGTATATCTGCAATTGGAGAAGTATACTTGAACTAGAGCTATCATAATAAAACACTTCAGTCTTTATTAGGTATATAAATCAAATTTTTACCTTTTTACCAAATTTGTAAGAGTCAGTAGTTGAAAAAATTATATACACGTAAAAAAAAATGTTTTAAGATAGTCAAGTGTTAGCGAAAAAAAACAAGCTTATTTCTAACCAGTTAGTCAAACTAAGGCTGAGTCAGTGACGTCTTAACAGATTCCCTGCAAAAATATTTTATTCAGACTGTGTTTTGTTACAACAAACTTAACTAATTACAAAGAAGCTAAGTATCGTCCTAAAATGTGTTTCACGGAAGGACAGTGCCATGTTGGGTCCCCGGGAGATTTTCCCGCCGTTTTAATTTCATGGTCTGAAGCAGTCGACACTTTTAAGCCCGAGAGTCACCCTCACTTGAATCGTACTTAGTGAATAGGTATTAAATGAAAAAGTATATATATATATATATATATATATATATATATATATATATATATATATTCGTTTTATCGTAAGCAATTGTTTTCTGCTTTCCCTTTTCTAGTACAAAATTACTTTCCAAACCTCAACGTTATTCAATTTAATGAAATAAAAAGCTTTTGTAATGAATTATTTCGAGCTGTATTCGCTACGTTAAACTTTAAAGCAAGGCCTACCTTTATCCCAAACCAACAGCAAAACAGATTTCTTTGATGTTTGCCTTTAACAATATCCAAACCAGCTGTAGTTTTCAGCAAGAGAACAAAACGTTAACCTTTAAAACTCGGTATTTCAAAATGGATGAAACTCAACTCGATAAAGCTACAAAACAAAGTTAATAAACAACATTTATACTTTTTGTTTCACCAAAAAAAGTATAAACTTATAAAACTGTTTTGGATGCCATAGTATTGTAACATAACTTACCTATAAATACTTTTTTTTAGAAAATCCATTTGTCATTTCTTTACAAATACTTTTTTCTAAAAAACACGCATTAATAGAAAATTCCCTATTGCTGAAACGCAAATATTGTCTTTAGATTGAAATAATCACGTAAATTTAGTGCGATTTATGTTGCTTTTGTCAATTTCGTAGCCATGAGTTGTTATTAGTTACTATTCAAAGTTGTTCGATATTTGAGAAAACTTATATTTAATTAATCACAGTGAGATAAGATTTTTCAAAGTTTTTTAGATTTCAACGTAAATACAAACAAAGATTACTGAAAAAAACTATTGCAAAGCCATAACATGCTGTTCACAGAAAGATTGATATATATTTTAGAAGTAAAATGCTTCTTAATTATTAGTCATACTTAAAAATAAAAATATTTCTCGCGAACATTTTCGAACAATCGTACCAGAAATACTCTATGTACCATACAAATAATACAATAAGTCTCCTTTTACAATTAGTGAAACAGTTACAATATACAGTATGACATATTTAACAGTAATTGAACATTTTGATACTAAGGCGAGGCTTAAGCCGAAGATGTATAAAAGACAAAAATAAATAGATGTGTTTCCATACCCGGCGGCGACAACAAATCGGGATCTTTTCCAATACCGGCTTAACGTATGTACCGTTTATCGTATTGGGGGATATTTGTTTAATAGAAGACATGAGGTAAAACTACTCTTTTTTGGTTCTCCAATGTACGATGTTAAAGACTATGGATAATTTTCTATTAGGCCCACTTAAAACACAATATGAAATAACATTTTAGGTAACACGTTTATCCATATAAACAAAATTAATCTAATATAACACGACTCAACCCCACTTTACTTTATATGCGGGATAAAATATATGGACTGTGTAATATGTTTGAATGACTAACTCATAAAATTGATAACCTAAGATTTTTACCATAGATTAAGATTATGGTCTTTGTTGTGACCTCAAAACGGCAAAGTGACAGCGTCTACATACAAAAAAGTGATTGTAAGTTGATAGTACGGAATCTTCATCTTAATATTGTTTTCGCTATCTCATTACATCAAATGCCGGCATTTTTGTAAAGCAAATTAAACTAAGTAACGGAATGAACTGTGCTGATACAATTTTGTTACCCAGAACCCTCTAACAAATTTACAACCTTTACATTACCTTAACATTGCATTATCTCTAAGTCCATAATCATTGTAACCCCGGTTAACTAGTAATTCAATCAAAAATTTATTTCTATAAAAAGCTCAAAACACCACAAAGGGCGCGCGTAAACCAATCCCGTGTTTTGTAGCCTTTGTTTATACTGGCAAAAGGGAATTGTGTTTGGGTTTTTGCTTCTTCCAAGAGCTAACCAATTTTAAAAATCACTTGTTTGCTTTATTAGGTACAAAAGTCCTGTGGCAAACTGTTAATATTTGACAATACGTCAACAAGAACTGAACCAAATTTCTTAATTGACTTTGGTGTGACTGAATCAATGCATGCAGAATGTATGTTTAGACGCGCTTATACAAGGCATGTTGGAAGGTAGAGGTTGCCTTGGCAGGTAGGTTGCCTTGGCAGGTAGGTTGCCTTGGCAGGTAGGTTACCTTGGCAGGTAGGTTGCCTTGGCAGGTAGGTTGCCTTGGCAGGTAGGTTGCCTTGGCAGGTAGGTTGCCTTGGCAGGTAGGTTACCTTGGCAGGTAGGTTGCCTTGGCAGGTAGGTTGCCTTGGCAGGTAGGTTGCCTTGGCAGGTAGGTTACCTTGGCAGGTAGGTTGCCTTGGCAGGTAGGTTGCCTTGGCAGGTAGGTTGCCTTGGCAGGTAGGTTACCTTGGCAGGTAGGTTGCCTTGGCAGGTAGGTTGCCTTGGCAGGTAGGTTACCTTGGCAGGTAGGTTGCCTTGGCAGGTAGGTTGCCTTGGCAGGTAGGTTGCCTTGGCAGGTAGGTTGCCTTGGCAGGTAGGTTGCCTTGGCAGGTAGGTTGCCTTGGCAGGTAGGTTGCCTTGGCAGGTAGGTTGCCTTGGCAGGTAGGTTGCCTTGGCAGGTAGGTTGCCTTGGCAGGTAGGTTACCTTGGCAGGTAGGTTGCCTTGGCAGGTAGGTTGCCTTGGCAGGTAGGTTGCCTTGGCAGGTAGGTTACCTTGGCAGGTAGGTTGCCTTGGCAGGTAGGTTGCCTTGGCAGGTAGGTTGCCTTGGCAGGTAGGTTGCCTGCCTCAATGTACTGTAAGATACCTAAGCTAACCTGCCTAAGATAACCTACCTGCGTACTGCCTTTTTGTCAACGCGGCTTTTAATGTAGTGAAATGACCTAAGATTAGGTTGTTTTGTGGCAGTATTTTATCAATAAAATCATATTACAAGAGAACAATTGAACCTTTCCGCTTACTATTAATTACTAGTATGCCAAACACTGTTAATATGTTTTTAGTGGGGGAATCAATTGTTAGCTTGTACACGTGTATTAATTAAATCTAGCAAATTAGTTTTTATGATCTTACAAAATCAAAAAGAATAATTCATTTTCCTTCAAGCAGAAAATCTAAGTTTTCATCGAGGCATCGAGGTCTATTGCTTCTTTACACGAAAAGTTTAATAACTGTTTTTATTATGTACGAATTAAATAAATATAAAACACAACGGATAACTTTAAGTACATATATCTGTTTTGCCTACTATATGGCTATATTTTAATTGATGACTTTGGATGAGCGTATAAAATATTATTACACGTTTTGCTGTCGATCGTTTTATAAACACTAAACATTGTATCGAAAACCAGAATACAGAATTCATATCACAATTTAATTAAAACTGGCTTTGAACGAGATGGAGGTCGACCACATTGATGTGGGAAGCTCTGATACAAACACTACATACACCAACAATATGTTCCTGGTGGCGAATAATCCATTAAATAAATTAATTTAATCTTCGTTAATTTAACGGGATGAGATAAGGTAAAAAATATGTGTCTTATTAGAAACATGTATTAAGCCGTACGCATTATTAGAAACGTATGTATTAGAAACGCATCCGTACATAAGAAGAAACGTTTTCGAAACCCATGAAATGATAATGATTAACACTTTGGTTTTGTAGTATTAACGTGATTGGTTAAGATAAATTAGACTATAGGTTATAGCAGGCTTTAATTAAGGTGACTACATCTTAAAACATGTTACTTACTCTACATAAAGTAGAAATAACATACCTGTTAATTTTTGTGACACAACAAATATTTTTGTTATAATATTTGGATTTATGGTAGAATCTGCACATGTTAATCAACCTCTTCATAACTGTAGCAATAGCCTGAAGTAAAGTATAATTCTCATTTTACAACAGTTTCGGAAACACATGTTTGTGTATTATTTAAAGATATTGCCTTTTGAATAAATTTGAGAGTTTTTGCCCAGACTGTAAATAACGTTTAAATCTTTAACTCAGTATAGTTTTTATTATACAGCATACGAATGAATTTGTCAAATAATTTTTTTTTACCCTCGTATGAAATAATACACTAAAAATATTGTTTTTAGATCTCTCTGTATTATTTATTATTAATATTCGTCAAATGTGAGAACGCTAAAGGGAGGGTTTTAGTCTAAATCAAAGACTACTAAGTAAGTTATTAAAACGTCGCAAACTCTTTTTTGTGTAAAGTGCATACCGGTCTAAATGTCTCGTATCGGTTTCGGCTATTCATTGGTTCTAGACCATAAATTACCCTTGTTGAGTTCGGGGGATGATTCTCTCTGTAGACCGATTATTGAATCATTTCCGCCCTGGTGCGAGCCGTTTGTCTAGTGGATGACAAATGATCTTCTGTAGACATTGAGACTCATGGGACAACCATGTTATTCCTGCCTATGCATTTAGTAATTTGTCCAGATTCATCAAGAATAACAGTGTATTCTCAAACATATTCAATTCTAGCTTACTTTGTACTAAAATCACCTTATTTCGATATTTCCTTGGAAGATATGTAAAAAAAGAACAGGTTTGATAACAGGTTTTAGGTGAATATGAGTGAACTGTTTTGAATTAGTGCGATTACAGCTTTGTTTCTAAAGGCAGATGGATCTTTAGCAAAGGTCATATTTTATTTAAACTTAACGGTCGAGTATTGCTGAATTTAGTTTTGAATCATTTAAAAGTATTGAGACTTTTCAAAAACCGGCATTTATCTGATTGTAATCAGTTAGACTTGCACTTGAAACAGGGGGTTAATGGCCTTAACCTTGCAGTATCTGTCCACATGAGCCACAGAGGCGTGTATGAGCTTATCTACCAAAGCAAGGGGTGAGCCGGAACAGTAGATGTATGTACTCATAAAAAGATGCAACATGTACCAAAAACCGGACCCCCAACATCGCTGGTAAATTCGAATTCCGTTGCACTTCCGACCGTTGCGCTGGAACACCCCTCACGAACCTATATCTGATAAGCTTGGCAACTATTGTTCAGTGGATGTAGTGCTTGCCTATTAATAAGAGGTTTTTCATGTTAGGAAAAGACAGAACCATTTTACAATCCGAAACAGACAAAACGATGTTTGATTGTTGGGTTTTCAATAAACCCCTATATACCGGCGAACGTAGTATGTAACAAAGTTGTTAGTTCATTCAATACTTATTTTCCACTTATTTGCACCTAAGATCTTGCATCCTAGTAATGGTGTCATATTTATCTAGTTTCATAAAAATCAACATAAGATTATTAATTATCTTGTAATGGACACTTACTTGATGAGATTAATGATGAAGTTCTTTTAATATCAGTCCCTCATGACTACAAAATTAAAAATATTATCTCCGGAATAATGACAATTATAGTTTAATTGGAATAGAATGGAGTAAATCGCATCACTGAATGGCATACTATTAGAGGACGGAAATTAAATGTTGTGCTTGGATTTGAAATTCAATAAAAACTAAACAAAGGAGAAATAAGTTCCAACAACTTAAGGCATTGATTACAAATTTTAAGTTTATATTTCAGCTCGTCTCAGGTGTATCAGTTGAAACTCAGTTGTCAGTCAGGGTTTTCAGCAAAGCAGAGTCTCACGGGTCCCTTTTATTAAATCAGAACCGTTTGTCTTGATAAATGATCGAGCTTGAAGTCTCTTGCCCTGGGGGCCTTCCATCACCTATCTCTGTGATATATTCAGCATGTTAATTGAAATATACAGTTTTTTTAGCTCATATATTTTTCCAATCCAAATTTCGGCACGGTTATAAAGATCTCTACATCACGTATTTTTTCTATACAACTTTCAAATGGTTCATTTTAGCACTTAACATTGTTTTTTTGACTTGTAATAAGATAATAAAAAAAATTGGAAAGTCAGTTTTCAATAATAACAGGTATTGAGTATTCTTATGTATATATAAACGTTTAGTGGAAGTAATGGTAATATACATTAAAGATGCAACTGCTTAATTTCGCAGTAGTATTATATCAAGCCATACAAAGTTTGAACATACAACTATAGATTCTAGAAGAGGCCAAAATAAAGCTCGTTGTGCTAATTCATATTATAAATAATATAACTATAGAAAACGGGTACAAAAATATTGCAACACTAAAACACGAAAGCCTACTAGAACCCCTCAATTTTAATTTCATGTTTAATAACAAATCGTCAGGGAAAAACGTTGTAATGTAATACCAGCTGGCAACCGTCAACATGCGGATTATATATTCTTGTAACCGTAGATATAGTAATACAAATTTGATATACGCAATAAAAAGTAATCACTCATTTTGAATTGAACCATACTTTTAAACTGGTTCGACAACATCCTGAAAACAAACATTACATTGAAATTCAAAATTTATCTCTTTCTTGAAATTTTGTACTTTACATTGTTATTTTGTTTTCAAAACAAAATTATTCAAAATAAAGTTTGAAAGGTTTATAAGTTTCTTTAACAAGTTTTGTTGGTTATAGTGTAAAAATGATGTATGCCGGAAACCGCGCTTTGAAAGGATCACCCGTTACAAAATGGCGGCCGTTCAAAGATTTCTTGAACCTGCCATTTTGAATCTTTGAACGACTGCCATTTTGAACTCAGGCGTTCTTTTGAGCTTGAATTTACGGCATTGTAATCTACTAGTGAAGACCTTTAATTTGATGTGCATATCGACCTATGCTTACGTAAAAATTGTTTTCCCGATTCCTAGGGCTGTGCCCCCAAATGCAAATTAAATGAATCTTTGAACCACTGTCATTCTTGACTTGGTTGTCCGTTTGAGTTCAAATTTGCAGAATTATATTCTGCTAGTAAAGACCTTTAATTTGATGTACATGTCAACCTATGCTTCTATTTAAGATTTCCTTCTGACTCCTTGCGGGACGTCCCCATGATGTGACAGAAAATTTATATTTCCATAAAAAAGTAGATTTTTAGGTGTGGTGTTGATGTACCAAATCTTATTGATTTATCTGTTGTCGTTTAGAAAACATTAAACCGGTCCGGGACTTTTGGGACAGTCTGTATATCTCGTCCTAGTATAATTTAAAACACAACCACAGAAAAAAAAAACTACAATGGTGTATTGTACGTAAGTATCAATAGTACGTAAGTATGTGCGTAAGTATCAATATGTGAATTCGTTTATAAATAAACGCATAGGTATATTTATGTAGTTACATTTGCAGCAATTGTTCACCTTCCGTATATTTCACAAATAAGGAAGTTTTAATAGCAAAACAAGAGGAAGTATTTGACTGTTTACACAGTTTATAACAAGGAGAGGGCAGATAGTCTGAGAACCGTGGTAATCCAGATAACCCGGGCAAACAATAGGTACTTAACTGCGACCGACTACAAAGGCGGCTAAATACAATGTCAGCTGGCGCATTCTGGCTTTGCATCTTGGGCTAAATACAATGCCCTATCTGGCGCATTCTGGCTTTGCATCTGGGGCTAAATACAATGTCATCATCGCATTCTGGCTTTGCATCTGGGGCTAAATACAGTGTCTTAGAGCTGGTGCATTCTGACTTTGCATCTGGGGCTGAATACAATGTCAGCTGGCGCATTCTGACTTTGCATCTGGGGCTAAATACAATGTCAGCTGGCGCATTCTGGCTTTGCATCTGGGGCTAAATACAATGTTATCTGGCGCATTCTGGATTTGCATTTGAGGCTAAATACAATGTCAGCTGGCGCATTCTGGCTTTGCATCTGAGGCTAAATACAATGTCAGCCGGCATATTCTGGCTTTGCATCGGAGGTTAAATACAGTGTCCTATGTGGCGCATTCTGGCTTTGCATCTTGGGCTAAATGCAATGTCAGCTGGCGCATTCTGTCTTTGAATCTGAGGCTAAAAACACTGTTAGCTGGCACATTCTGGCTTTGCATCTGGGGCTAAATACAATGTCAGCTGGCACATTCTGGCTTTGCATCTGAGGCTAAATACAATGTCAGCTAGCGCATTCTGGTTTTGCATCTGAGGATAAATTCAATGTCAGCTGGCACATTCTGGCTTTGCATCTGAGGCTAAATACAATGTTATCTGGCGCATTCTGGATTTGCATTTGAGGCTAAATACAATGTCAGCTGGCGCATTCTGGCTTTGCATCTGAGGCTAAATACAATGTCAGCCGGCATATTCTGGCTTTGCATCGGAGGTTAAGTACAATGTCCTATGTGGCGCATTCTGGCTTTGCATCTTGGGCTAAATGCAATGTCAGCTGGCGCATTCTGTCTTTGAATCTGAGGCTAAAAACACTGTTAGCTGGCACATTCTGGCTTTGCATCTGGGGCTAAATACAATGTCAGCTGGCACATTCTGGCTTTGCATCTGAGGCTAAATACAATGTCAGCTAGCGCATTCTGGTTTAGCATCTGAGGATAAATTCAATGTCAGCTGGCACATTCTGGCTTTGCATCTGAGGCTAAATACAATGTCAGCTGGGGCATTCTGGCTTTGCATCTGGGGCTAAATACAATGTCAGCTGGTGAATTCTGGCTTTGCATCTGAGGCTAAATACAATGTCAGCTGGCGCATTCTGGTTTTGCATCTGAGGCTAAATACTATGTCAGCTGGCGCATTCTGGCTTTGCATCTGGGGCTAAATACAATGTCAGCTGGTGTATTCTGGCTTTGCATCTGGGGCTAAATACAATGTCAGCTGGCGCATTCTGGCTTTGCATCTGAGGCTAAATACAATGTCAGCTGGCGCATTCTGGCTTTGCATCTGGGGCTAAATACAATGTCAGCTGGCGCATTCTGGCTTTGCATCTGAGGCTAAATACAATGTCAGCTGGCGCATTCTGGCTTTGCATCTGGGGCTAAATACAATGTCAGCTGGCGCATTCTGGCTTTGCATCTGGGGCTAAATACAATGCCCTATCTGGCGCATTCTGGCTTTGCATCTTAGGCTAAATACAGTGTCTTAGAGCTGGTGCATTCTTGCTTTGCACCTGAGGCTAAATATAATGTCAGCTGGCACATTCTGGCTTTGGATCTGGGGCTAAATGCGATGGTCTATAGCTACCTTATTTTCATGCATACAATGGGACTATATTGATAAATTATTGAGCCACAAAAACTGACCACACCAACCGGTACCGGTGCAGCCCCAAGTTCTATGATACAAGTGAACAAGATCATTTTATTGGACCATCCATGGTGTTTGTAGGAATTGTTGATTTTTTTAGTATTTTGGTGGTAAAAATAATTAAATAAATACTTCCTCAAGGTGGATGGGCTACATTTACTAAAACTTTGATACTTGTATGCACCTAAATAAATATTTACCAACATTAAACACACACGACAGTATACTTTCACTTGTCAAGTCTTTGTTTACATAGTTACGATTTCGATACACTCCTTAGTACAGGAAGATATTGAAATAAAGCACATTCTGTATTTCTTTTTTTTAACTTGTGTGTTTTGACCTGGTAAATGCAGTCTCCATCCTATCCCTGAGGGACTAATCATCACACTCACATTTCAGTATTGTGGTATATATTTTCATGATGTTTTCACTGGTAAATATATACATCATTAATTTGCTTGGAAATAAAAATATTTAATTTAATTAACTTACCAATAATAACACCGGAATCACGAGAATCCACTTCATTTTTGTCTACGCCGGAATGTATTCTTCACCAATACCTCAGACTCCGAGTAGACTTTGTCGTGACCATTTCAACCATCGGAACGTCTGAAACACATAAGACAGAGGTAAATTAAAATTCACATGCAAACATTACTCTTACTTTATTATCGTTTCACGTACCAAAAAACCATATTTCTCCAATGAAAACCTTCAGTCTCTTATTTGTTTGGTCATAATGCAGAAAAACAGCTGTTTTAATTACGTTGCGGGTTAAGGACCTCTTTCTCTTTAGGGAATGAAGATCAACTGGATACAATGACGTCAGCAGTGCATTTAGCTTACTTGTTACTCATAATTGTAACAAAGCGGTTGTGTCAGTGTAAACGGTTGATAAATCAATAGTTAGACTTCGAAACATCGATGTATATTGGTAGTATAATGGACACATATAACAACCGTAATAGACTAAATGTTTTAATATCGCTCCAAATGGCTCTTTATTCACAATTGGAAAATTTAAAAAAGATGGAAGCTATTTTAAAAGATTATCTTTACATGAAAATTGAGTTCGTGATGCAACCTACATAGTTTCCTTAAGGAAATGTGCAATATGACAAAAATTTTTTTATAACATGGACGAAAGGTGTCTTTTTCAACGCTTGTTCATTGAGCTTGAGCTCGGGTCGAAAAGAGTCACTAAAAGCTCTTGTGATGTAATATATTATACTATGGCAGACGCAAAGTTTGCGTTCATATTTTAATATGAACATTAGTACAGGGCGAGTGAGATACAATGTATAGCTTTGCTATAAACTAAAATTAATTAATTGTCTATGAAACATACGTAATTAAAATCCCAATCAAAGATCAAGGTTAGGCGGACAAAATTTCGAGCCAATAAAAGCCAATCGCGTTTTCCTAGGGTCGATGGAAACCTTCTAGGCATTAGTCGAGCACTATAAATTGTTTTATGAGACCTTGTCAAAATTATTAAGGGCGTTTGTAGTCTTCAATGCATGCGGATGTAGAGTAAAACGATCCGAAATATAAATTGGTATGATCAC